CTGGCTCTATGGCTTGGAAACGGGGATGAGCACCGCCCCCTAGAGTCGAACACGACTGGACAAAAATTGTCAAGGGGAACCTTTACCTTTACCTTATGTCACCTAAAGCCATAACAGCTTTTACACTAGCTAGGCTCAATGTATTTCCTTCTAAGCTTCTAGAGGGAAGATTTCGAGGTTTGCCTACATCAGGTTGTCTCTGCCCTTGTAATAGTGATAAAGTTGAATCAGTTGGTCATGTTCATCTTTGTTGTACTTGCTATCGGGATCTTTGTATGGAGCTTTTCATCACCTATTATCTGTTAAAGCCATAACAGCTTTTACACTAGCTAGGCTCAATGTATTTCCTTCTAAGCTTCTAGAGGGAAGATTTCGAGGTTTGCCTACATCAGGTTGTCTCTGCCCTTGTAATAGTGATAAAGTTGAATCAGTTGGTCATGTTCATCTTTGTTGTACTTGCTATCGGGATCTTTGTATGGAGCTTTTCATCACCTATTATCTGTAAATCTCCTTGGAGATCAGAGGAGGATTATGTCCAGTTGCTACTCTCTGACAATACCCCATATATAACAAGTGGCCAAATTCTGTGCTGCAGCAATGGTTATTCATAATCAGTTATTTGAGTAGGTGATTTTAGATGGATAATATAATGCTTTTAATATAACACTGGCTGAGGTTTTACTTATATTAAGGATATATGATCTTATTAACTGGAAATAAGGGGTCATTTTATCATGTTTTAATGTAATTTTATTAGCCTGACTGACTTTATGAAACTATAATTATATGTATCTATTTTATATTGATTTGGTTTTACCGGTCTTTGACAGTAATAAAAGTATTCATTCATTCAACTTGTGCTGTTGTTCAGCATGTGGGCTCCCTCCTGCTATAATTTCATTCACAGTAGCAAAAGCAGTCCAGCATTCAGGCTAAATGGCAAATGTATATTGCAGCTTGGTCATGGGGAGCAGCTGCAGCACTGAAGTAATTCCAGACAGCCTCCAATATGTGAAGTCAGCCTCACATTTGTAAAACTCTGTTACTGTGGCAGCCGTTCTCCCTCTCTCCTTGCCATCTGTGATAGTGCCTCTTGGCTGCTCAGAATGAGTTTTTGCAGAAGAGCAGATGGTGTAGCTATGGGAAGGTAGCACAACATTTGGGTGCAAAAAAAATCAACAGAGATATTCACCTCTGGCACAGTATTAATACTAAATACAGAACTGAACCTTTAGTACAGTAGTTGTAACTCAAGAGTACCAAGCCCAAGGAAAGAGCTCAGCTGGCAAACACTGGTAGTTTCCAGGAAGGTGACTCTGTATCTTTACAGTGAAGCAGATGATGCATCTGGATCAAAGAGTGAAAAAGATGAGTACAATAGGACACAGACTCAGACATCACCTTAGCTGTCAAAGATTGATTGTGGGCCAAAGAAGATAATCAAACAAGATTATATTTTTTTGATGGAAGTTCTTTGTTACATTAACTAATGTTGTATTTTCAGCAGAATGATTCTAGTTATGCAGAATATGTGGCTAGGAATTCATATTACATCAGAGATAATAAAAAATAACTCTTAATAACAACCAGCTAATGGGAAATGGTTATCAAAAGTAATTCAGTGGCTAGAATTCTGTTAGCTAAATGTACTGGTGTAACTCCATTACAGTAACTCAGTGGCTGAAATCCTGCTGGCAAAGGTGATTTTCTGACATTAACTGCTCTCCCTCCTACCTCCCAAGGCTCTGAAAGGCTTCCTTACGTCAAAAGGGATCCCTGGGGAGCACCAGAACTTGTGGGGGTATAAGAAGCTTTAAATTAATTTAAATTAAAAATTAATGTTACCTGCTGGTGACATCTTCTGCATTTATAATCCAGTAGGATTTCAGCCACTGTGTGATAACAAACACCTATGCTGACTTAGTTTGCAGTACTGTATCACTGAAATTTACGCTGATTGACCTATGCTGGTGTACATATGTAATAAAATTCTGGCCGTCATAAGCAACTTCCTGAAGGCTGTATCGTAAGCAATGTGCACTGCATTCTAATTGAAATACTTTTTGGTCTGGCACAGTCATACATGAATATTTAATTCACTCACTTCCCCATTACTTTTTAAAATTGTGATATTTCAGATTCTGGAAAGATAGATTCTGAATTTCAATTATTTTCCTCTTTCATTTTGACAGAATCTATATCAGAACAGGTTCTTAGGCCTGGCTGCCATGGCGTCTCCTTCTAGGAACTCGCAGAATCGGCGCCGGTGCAAAGAACCTCTGAGGTACAGCTACAACCCAGACCAGTTCCACAACATGGACATTGGGAATGGCCCTCACGAGACAGTCACTATTCCACGCTCTACAAGTGATACCGATTTGGTAACCTCAGACAGCCGGTCTACACTCACAGTCAGCAGCTCCTATTATTCCATAGGACATTCACAAGATCTTGTGATTTATTGGGATATAAAAGAAGAAGTGGATGCAGGGGACTGGATTGGCATGTATCTCATTGGTAAGTCCACCCTGACCTTAGGATTTTTCATTAATTTTACAAATAGAAAATAAACATAAAGCAAACCTTTACAGCTTTTGACCAACCAAATTATTAAATACAATTCATGTAATATGACCTAAGCTCTTTCAACTAAAAATGCAAAATAGACTGGAACAATGGGAGGTTTATCAAATACCAGTAGCAATAGTCATAAGAGAATTCCTTTTAGGCTGCATTAAACTTGGTTGAATAAATGTTTTTGTTCTAATGCATAGTTAAAGAAAATTATTTGCAAATAAATCCCACTGAAATAAAGAATGCTTGGTGACTTTCTCTGAAGAGCTTAGATAGTTGAATGAACTATGTTGCACTTACATGTAGAAAAGATTAATTGATATACAAAGATCTTTATAGATACACTGGATTTTCTTAAGTTACTGGCTTGAATCCTACTGATGTTTGCTTAAGGTGTTCATAATGTATCATGGCAGATCGCAGCTAATTGACGAGCTGCTGGAGTGCACCTTGGTTGCACAGTCAGGTGCATGACCAGACATACAACTGAGTTACAGTGGACCCTCTGCTTAAGGAATTAACTGACCAGACAACTGAGATATGTCCCTGCACCATGGCAGTTAGGCACAATTAGCCACAACACATTACAAAAATCTTAAATGGACGCCTGTAGGATTCTGGCTGCTGTCTTCTAAGCCCCACTTCTTCCATAATTTTTGTCATGTTTTAAAGATTAATTTGGGATAGTTATTTTACTTGCATTTAAAAACAAAACAGAAAACAAACCCAGGCATTTCATGAACCATGGCAATGCCTCCCTGCTCAGTTGTTCTAGCTTGCTTATTGTTTT